CAATATATGAAAAAGCCAGGTTTTACTGAGTGTTTAAGTTGCCATTCCTTATCTTCCATTGTGTGATCTGAGCAATTTATCTTTTCTGATGCTAGTTTTCCTCATCTTTATGTGTTATAATTGCAGCCTCATGAGATTATTGTGAAGATCAAATAAGGTAACACATGTGAAAATATGTTGTGCATTTTACCCAGTGCTCTACAAATGTTAGTTGTTTTTTCCCTACATACATGCAGGAAATTTCATTTTGCAGTTAAGAAATAAAAAGTAAGTTCATGCAAGTTCATGCTGTGGCAGTTGGTGGGGATATTTTCCACAAAGCGGCAGTTGCAAAGAAGGGCTATTCTTCTTTATGTACGCATTGTGGACTCCTAAAAATCATCAAATGATGCAGAAGGAAAGATTATACAAAAAGAAACAGAGATATCTCATTAACTTTTCATTAAGATGTGGTACTTGATGTTCTTGTGACAATATTTTGTCAGAAAATAGGTTTGTTTCCTTTTAAAATCTGCTCAAAATAATGTGAACTTCGAATATTATAGGAATTATTTTCAACTATCATAGTTTCTGCTAAGATTTTATTCTTTAACATGTTATTGCTGAGCTTGGGTATTGAGTGTTTCGGTGATGTTACTGTAGAACCTCTGGGGAAATCTACTTTTAGAGGTGTCTTCCTCTAAAACTCCTGAACTGTGGCCACGCTGGTCCTTTCTTCATGGATGTTGAACTATTGCTCATTATTTTATTTGTATCAGATTTGTTCCTGCACACTTTTGTCAGGTGGGTTCCTGTTTGATTGTGACATACTTTTTACTGGGAAATTATAATAAAAAATTAACTTGTCTTGGACTTGAATTTCTCATAGTTCTGTTTATAGGTATTAATGGTTATATCTCCAAACTGTGAACTTTTATATTATACTTCTACCAGTGCACATAGCATGGTGCATGACATATATTAGGTACTCAATAAATATTGGATTGGTGAATGGTGAATTTGGAAGCTTTACTTTTTGGTTAAAAATGGGAGGAACAGAAATCCTCTTATGTTAGGAGCCCATAAGATTGTTTCCAGTGATAAGAATTTTACGAAATATAAGCTAGTGGGAGAATATGCAGTATATGACAAAGAGTAAGACTGATGTTTGTGAACTTTATTATTACTTGCACTCTCAATTCATATTTCAGAGGTAGCTCCTCTTTTTTTTAACTGTATTAATTTAGAAAATGCTTAAAAATACTTTGGGATGTTTCTTTTAATATATGAATCTGCACAGTCACAATATTTAGATTAAAGCAATATCTCTCTCTGTCTGTCTCTCTCTCCCCTTCTCTGTCCTGGGGATTTTGATATGGTAATTTAGAAGGTAACATTTTTCTTTTTATTGGGTTTTCTAGAATTTGAATAATGACAGAAATATGATATAAAAATGGTCTCTTTCTGAAGAAAGACCAAGAGGTGTACTACTCTAAAGGTAGAGTCATGTGGACTCTTTATTTCCTTTTCTTCCTGACACCCACTCAATTCTTGGGCATATATTGTATCTACCTAATGGTCAAAATAGGAGACTCTTAGGAAAAGCATGCTAAAGTAAAGAACAGCCTTTCTGGAGCAGGAAGAACTCCCTAGTCAGAGCAGCCCTAGGCTGTTTTACCCCATCATTAGAGCAAGAAAATCCCAAGAGAAACTTTTCCTTTAACCCATTTCTGTCAGTATCTCTTCTCTTTGGGACTGAAGCAAAGGAGCACATGCTTGTGAAATGGATCCTTGAGATCCCTAGATATACTCATATTCTGGAAATTAGCATATTAAAGAATATGTTAAAGTTAGGAAGCCATTAGGAAAAATCACAGAGATCATTAGATTGTGAATATCATTAGTTTGGGTTATTATTATCTCATGGATAATGACTACTTAACGAGCTTTGGAACATTAGGCAAAGTAACCTCTCTAAGCCCCATGACCTTATCTTTAAAATGGGGTTAATGAGTACCAATCACAGATGGTTGCCATGAAAATTAAACAAGACAGAGTGCATTGTTGAGGGTTATTAGTATAAGCCCTAGAATCTGGGTCTGATCAGCTTGAGAAGAAGAGAATTTGGAGTGGATGTAGGAATCCTCAGTCTCACTAGAAGGGCTGGAGAACTGGACTCAAAGGCTGTACAGCTCTGAATTACAGTCAAAATCATGACACAGAACTAGTGTGGAGAGGACTAACTGCTGCATTATTGCTGAGTATTAGATGCCACAGATTGCATTGCCTCTACAGGGTGTTGTTAACACTGTTGTCACTGCTTCCTTTGAAGCTATTATTGCCATTGCTTCTCGAAATAATTCTCTACTGTCCTTGGTTCTTTGCATCACTTGCTCCTGGTTCAGAATCGTAGGCAAGTGAGAATCAGTTAGGGTCATATAGCTATGCCTTGCAGCAGGGATCCTGCAAAAACAAGTTTATAACATTATCACCTTTTACAAAGACTTAGATGACTGGGAATTCCCAGAACAAAAGAGAGTTTAGAGCTGGGCATCCCCAAAACTGATAAATTGGCATACTTATCAAGTGCTTATTACCATGCCTGACGTGTGTTAGGTGACCAAGAAGTTTTGGCTTTTTAATTTATATTTGCCAGTCTTTACTGCAAAAAAAGGTTGAGATTTGATTTTTGAAGCAAATAGATTGGAGACACTAGAGCATGAAAGTTATTTCCAAACCTAGAATGTATGTAGTAGTAGTCCAGTTAAGTTCACTAGATTGTACCTCCCAACTGTTCTGAAGTAACTCAAGGATAATCCTGGACTTGTCAGCCAAAATGTATCAGCAGCCAATAGCCCAGATTGCCATGGAGACTCCCTTGACTTTTTAAAATTGCCACCCTTTCTACCTGGCCTCCTATATATAAGAGTATATTTAAATGTAATTTTAAAAGTCCTGACCTTCATGTCAGAAGACCTGGATTTGAATCTCAGCTCTACCAGTGACTAGCAGTATGATCTGGAGTAGATTACTTGGTCCCTTAGACTGTTTCCTCTGTGTGTGTGTGTGTGTGTGTGTGTGTGTGTGTTTAGAATAAACACTATTACAAAAATATTGTTAAGGATTTAAATGAAAACATGAAAATATCTAGCACATAGTGAATACTACTCAGTAAATATTTCTTTTAAAAACAAAAGGGCCCTGGGAATTATAAATTAAGTTTTACATTTCCTTTAAAAAGTAAAAGTGATCTGTAATCAATAGGTAAATATTTAAGCCAATGTAGTTTGGGGCAATGTTTTCAGAGTGTTCATGAAGTCAAAATATTTTTGTAATAATACCAAGACATTATTTGTCCTTTTTACTTTCATTCTCTTGTGAATGGGGTTTTCAGGGGCTATTTGACATGTGATGTCACAGCAGATTAAATGCAGAAGCAGACATGAGAATCCAGTTGTTGCTTCCTATTTAGGCTAATATTAGAGATTTGCAAAAATGTAAGACAGTGCTACTCTTTGACTAAATTCCTCTTTTATTTTGGAAAATTTAGTTTTTTTAAAATAAAAAGTGTCATTTATGTTAACATGCAGTTGTGTTTATTATTTTTAAAAGAATTAGTCAATAAATTTTAAATTCCTGTTTTAATTTCTATTTTGGCAACTATTGATAGACATAATTTACATAAACGAAAGCTTTTTGAGGACCTCAGTAATTTTCAAGGGTGTAAAGGGACCCTAAAACCAAAAAGTTTGAGAACTGCTACGTTAGGGGAAAGGGCTATGTTTTCTGTAAGAGGAAACTACGTTTGACTAATTTATTGGAGGTATTTGAGTGAACCTTTGCTTATTTAAGTATGTAGACCTGCTACAACTTTTAAAACTCCTATAACATTTAGCCTAACAAAAAATATACAGACACATATGCATGTGGGGATCAAGTGGAATGCTTTTTTAGGGACAGAGAATTTATATAGAAGTAGACAACTAAAAAAAGGGGATAATTTGGGATGAAGAAATATTATCAGTTGGTCTGATTTATACGTTAGAAAAATGATCTGGAAGAATTATAGACAAGTGGAAAGATCAATGGATTAGGTGTGAGAACACCTGGCTCCTCAATTCAATAAATTTGTTTTTGGGTAAACTCTTCAGTGTTTTGAACTTTCATTTCTTCAAATGAAGAATGGGAATAAGTAATCCTTGCCCTGCTTTTTTTTGTTGTTGTTGTTCATTCAACAAATATTTGTTGATTATCTATAGTGTACTAGGCTCTATTCTAGGTTATTACAGATACAGTGATAAAATATGCAAGGTTCTTGCCTCAAGGAGATAACAGTTTAGTGAGAGAGGCAGGGATAAACAAGTACATAAATATCTGTATATATAAATAATTATAAATTGTAATAAGTACTATAAAGGAATCAAATAGTAATGAGAGGAAAATGAAATGACAGGAAAATGTACAGGCTTACTTACACAGGACCAACAAGGAAGGCTTCTCTGAGGCAATGATGTTTAAGCTGAGACCAGATGTATGAAATGGAGCAGGGGCAATATCTTTCAGCAAAGAGAACTGTGCGTGCAAAGGCCCTGAGATGTGTCTAGAGTGTGATGGAGACATGGGGAATGGTAGAACAAGATAAGGTTGGAGAGGAAGACAAAGTCTAGGTCATGAAAAGAAACCTGTAGTTTAGATGTGTGAAGGGTTCAAATGCGTTCAAAGCTGAGAGATCTATAAGGGATTATTTGGCTAGATGATGATGTTAGGGGATACAGCTTAAATTTGAGAATGAGAACCATTTCTCACAACTGTCCCTGGTTGGTGTTCTCAGGGACCATCTAAAATTAAAATCTGGAGAGTGATTTTAATTCAGTATTATTAAAATGCTTAGCTTCTTACTACTGATAATTTGTTCAAAAGAGTTAAATTTCTTTTTTGATTAGGTTCTTTAACAAAAATATCTATTATGGAAATAAGTACATATCAGATTTTTCTACTAATTATATCTGCATTTATTTCAGTGCTCTTCTTTTTAATGAAGTGAAATATATTGCAACCATGGAAGACCTTCAGAACATAGAAAATGCTCTGAAAGGAAAAGTAAATATTGTATTCTCATACGTAAGAGCCATTGGAACTCCAGGTATTTATTAATGTTTACTTTAATCTCTGCTGTGCCTCTGTACTTGTGCATGTATGTTGAAGTATTTAAACAGCATTTTCTGACCACAATCTTATTTTTTTAAGTTTATTTGTTTATTAATAATATTATTTTTTTACATTCTAAGATGATGTGGAGCAGTTGGGAGCGGGGAGTACAGGGGAAGGGGGAAGGAAATAGGGTGGGAGAAGGAGGAAGGAGGAAGGGTGTGGTTGAGGCCCGTGGCACCCCTCTCATTCCTGCAGTTGGGACCAGGGGGCTTCCAGCAGTAGCTTGGTCATTGCTGGGCTGGGTGCAGATGTCAGGCGGTTCTGACCACAGTCTTAATATTTAAAATTAATTTAAAGCATTTTTACTATTATGTTATCTTTCTTTAAATGGGCAGTATATCAGGAATTTGGAGGAAAAAAAGTAAAATAAATGGGCAATATAATGTAATGGTTGAACAAGAACCCTGGAGCCAGACTGCCTAGGTTGGACTCCGTGCCCCACTAGTAACTTATAGTGTGACCTTGGACAAATTACTTAACTGCAGTTTCCTAGTCTCGAAGATGAGGAAAATAATTGTGCCTACCTTTTAGTGTTTTTGTGAGAATCAAATGCATTCGATTAAATTATTCAATTAAATTATTCAATTAAAATCATTCCTGGAACATAGTAGGTGCTCTGTAAGTGTTAGCTATTACTATTTTGATTTTCTTATAGTCCTCATGATACCTGATATAGTAGTTTCTAGTATTTGATAAACATTGTTCACTGACTAGCTTTCTTTTTTATTTTGGTATTAGTTGTTTATGACTTTTTTTCTTGATTTTTAAAACATCAAGCATTACCTTGAGAATTAATATCTAGTTTTGTGGTAAAGAAGTTTATAAACATTTTGTGAACAGATTATAGTTATGCTTTCAGGACTTTTATTTGTTAATTGTTATAACTTAACGATGTTCATATAAAATATTGTTAAAGACATTTAAAAAACTGTACATGCTCTATGAAATAAAAGCATGTATTGGAAATCTTAGTTTTTTTTAATAAACATAAAGCTTGCTGGCTACCTGGCATGCTATTGAACATTACACAGTTGTAAAATAATACTACACAGTCCATCTGTTTTTATTTACTTTTCAGGGTCCTCAGGTGGTTGTGTTTTCTCCAGAGTTTGTAGTTGTAATCAGTGAAAGGGATAAGCTTTAGGGGGCTTACACTGCCGTAGCAGAAGCAGAACTTCATGATTTGTTTATATTTTAACAGCATCAATTTGACTTCGGTGTTTGGAATAGATTGGAAGGAGCAGGAATAGAATAAGGGAGAAAATTAGGAAGTTGCTGCAGTACTGTAGACAAGAGATGATGGCGGAGGTGGCAGTAAATTTGAATTTTAGTAGTATATTGAAGGTAGAGATGACTGAATTTTCTGACATATGGGATGTGGAGTGAAAGATGGAGACTAGGGTGGCTCTGGGGTTTTGGCCTGAGCTACTTGAGAGATGAAATTGCTAATAACTGAGGTAGAGAAGACTGGGAATAGATAGTTTGAAGAGTAAGTTCTGTAATTCACTTTCTGACATCTTTGTGAAATACTCATTAGGCTTCCAAGTAGAGATATCAGCAAGGTAGTTGTATACTACTGGACTGCATTTTATGTTGGAGATATAGTCTAGGGATATAAATTTGAGAAATAAAGCTCTGAGACCAAAAGAGATCACTAAGTGAGTGAGTCTAAATGGAAAAGAGATAACAGTAGTCCATATTGGAGCAAATCAGAAGGCTCTGTAGAAATGTCTCCAAGGAGAGGCAAGTGATAGTATACCTGATGTACTGGAAGTATTGAAAGAGTTAGACAATTGTGGAAGAGTTTGGGAAAAAGGAAGAAATCCAAACAAAAATTTAAAAAAGATAGTTATAACTGCAGTGAAAATGGTTGTTCAAGAAAGGAAAAGTGGTCATTCTGTACTGTATGGCTCATCTATAAAGAGTATTTTCCAAGTCCTAGCAGTGTAAAATACTGAATATTGATCTAACAAAAATTAGAACTATATAGAGGATGGGAAGTATGTACATTTGTGGAGCTGGATTTTAGAAAAGAAAGCTAACTTATCTTCCATAGTGGGAAGTCAATAGATAATACTAAAATTTTTCATAGATATGTGTGTATATCAGGGAATGAGAGTATAAGAATGTCATTTAGAGACCTGGACATAAGTACCAAAAAAATCATAAAAGAGTTGAAAGTGGCTGTCCCTTGGGAATTGGACATGGGATAGAGGGTAGAGGAACAGCTGTTTTTCTATATGCCTTCTACAGTTATTTGTCTTTTTGATAAGTATAAGAATAAATTTGATTTAAAAAAACTAACCCAGAAACAATATATATAGACATAAACATATATAAAATATAGCATATGAAAGTAGTATGGTAGATTTATATTCTCTTCACTACTACTAGGAAGAAACTAAGAGAAATTTGTCATATGTTATATTCTCAAGTATAACTTATTTTCTATTCCCTCTTAATACTTCTTTTATTTCAAAGAGATTATAACTTCTTTAACTGCCTGCATTTTCCCAACTGGGATCCCTGCAAAGGATTTTTATAATAGAACTTGAAATAATTTTTATTTATTTTTATAGTAATTTTTATTTATTTTTATAATGGAACTTGAAATCATTTTTATAATAGAACTTGAAAGGGTGTAGGATAATATTCAAAATACAAGTTTATGTAGAGTCACACAAACTGACTCCTCTCTCCCAACCCCTTGATCTCTTCCTTAGAACACAGAGCAGTCATGGAAGCTGCTTTTGTGTATGGAACCACATACCAATTTGTCTTAACCACAGAAATTGCCCTTTTGGAAAGTATTGGGTATGTATAAGAGGCATATTTCAACAGTTTAATTTTTTTGTTGCTCACTTATTTCACATTTCTTTGTCAATGTTTCCATCATACTCTCACAGCATGGGCTAATCTGAAGGAATCGTGAAAACAGATGTGAATATGTAAATGAAACCTGAAATGCCCTTCATTACTATCATCTGCTGTACTACAGTCTGAAAATATACAGAAGTGATGTTAGACTAAGGTGAATGATGACAATGTGGATAAGCCACAAGATATCCCATGAGTGGTCAAGTGAGGTATTTTAGGAATAGATCTCCCAAAGTGATCAGATTGAGGTAAAATAACAGCTTTCATAACGAAACTCCAGAAATTCTTTGTGAGAGTTCCGTAAGTTACTTTGTCATAATAATCTTAAATGTATAGTTTTAAGTTTAAATGTATAAGTTTTATACTTAAAAGTATAGTTTTTGAACAGAATGTTTTAAATATTTATTTTTCTTGTCTAGCTTCCAGCTTACGATTCTAGGTAGAAGCCTACTTTTCACTGTTTTTGGCTGAGCAACCTAGAGCTAAAGTTGTTTTCCTTTAGTACTTAAGGACACAAGAAATAACAAGTGCATTTTAAAGACTATAATTTTGGCTTCAAAATGCTTTTCAGGAAAATTAATCCAAAGCAAGGCAAAATGGTAATTGTATGACCTTTTTATACCATACAAGAGTTTTTAATGAGCCCTCCTGTTGACTTCTCAGAAAATAGTAATTATTTTATATACCACACACAATTGTTTTAAACCCAGACATTTTACAACTCTGTAAATTTAGAGGCTAGTGCATAGAAATTTGATAAGGTGAAATGATTTTGGGGGGGGAGAAAGGGGTAGGCATAGAAGAAAGTTCCTACCAAAGAGAAATTATGTATTCATTGCTCTGTATGACATTAACCTGCATTGCTTTTTAAATTAGTCTCTCCTTATTGAACTGTCATTTGGCTGGTTCCCTCATCAATGAGTTAAATAAAACTTTGATGCATGCTTACTGTCTGTATGAGAATTATGTTTCTAACAATTTTAGAATTGTGCTGGCAGTACCATAAAGCTTCACCATGAGTTGACAATGAGTGGCAAGATATGATAAGCAGTAGTTTATCAAGTTACTTTGCTACTCACAATGCAGACTACCAGTTTCCCATCCTGGAATGTTACTCTCCATCTCATAGTGATTCCATGATAGCCACAAGTTTCTCTGAGAATGCTTGTACTTTCTCTTGTCTTACCAGCTTCTGTATTTTTCAGATAATGAATAATTACAAATAATGATAGCCTTAAAATACAAAGGGATGGTTATTTATTGGCAAGGTGTAAGTCCTATTATTTACCTTACAAATCTTGTTTAGCAAGATATAATATTTAAATATATTCTGATCTAAGACTAAAGCATGGTATTGTTCTGGAAGGTTTTTTTGCTTTCCCTCAGTTTAAAAATGTATGGTTATCCTGTTTTCATTTACTTTTGAGTATATGATGTATTGGGGATGTTTGAATTATCATTTATTCATGAATAACAAGATGGTGAGGAGTCACACCTGGACCTGATGTGACAGAGGACTGTGGATTCTGAATACAGTAGTCCTATGACATCATCTCTGGATGGAGTATTGTAGTTGGCTGTGACTTTGGGTTGTCTCTAATGGGAGTGAGGTGAATGCATTCTTTCTTTCATTTGTATATTATGCATTCTTTCTTTCATTTCAATATTTATTTAATGCCTATTTGTATTAGGCACTATTCCAGTTTCTGGAGCTATAATATTGGATAAGACTTGTATATTAATTGCTGTATCATGTTGGGCCTGAGTATGTTTGAAATTATATGTCAGTTAAGAAATTTATCAGTTAATTATATGTATGATAGGTAGTAGAAGAGGTAGCGTGCCATACCAGTGCTTTCGGTTACCTCTCCATATTCCCTTCTTAAAGAATCTGTGTATAGGCCAAGAATGGTATTACCCCTGCCTCGTGTACATCCCTGTTAATTAAATCAGAGGTGGGCACCTGACCTAGGCCCACCCAATCTATTGGCTTATCTGAACAGATGAGATCTTCTCTCCCAGGAACTTGGAATTGGACATGGTATCTGTCTTGTTCACAGGAAAGACCACCTAAAAGTAGAATGGAGAGGTGTCTTCACAGAATGAGTTGGGAGCTGAAAACTGTTAATGGCAAAATGAAGGTCCCTGAATTCTTGCTGCTCAGTTCCCTACATTTCTTCTCTGCCATTTCTCTGATCCAATTATTTGAATTTTTCTTGTATTCTGTGAGATAACCTTCTAAACTTCCAATAAATTACCCCTTTTTTGGTTTCTGTAATCTTCAAGCATATGATTCTTGATTAAATAACTTACCAACATTATTTTGGTATTTTAGAGTCATGATATGAAGTGCAGTCTTAACTAGGATCTCTTACACTCAACACTTTGATTTCAGCAGTATGTGACCATTCAGGGCTTCCCTCAACAAGTTTTGTACTTTCATTGTGCCTTAGCTACATTGTTGCTTTTGTTTGAAATGCCCATTTGTCCTATCTTCTTGGAGAAGCCATTCTCTCCCTTTCTGTGTTTTAAGCTCTGTGATGATCTTTTTCTTCTCTCTTCTTCTTAACTTGAGGCAGAATGAAATATTTGTTCTTCTTAGCAACATGATAGCACTTACAAGCCACGTTTTGTTTTATTAAACATCTCCTTTAGTTTAAGCCCTTTAAGGATTTGAATTATCTTATTCATTTTTATCTCTTGTGTTTAGCACAGGGCCTAACACATTGTGGGCATTAGGTAAATTTTTGAGTGATCATTTCCTTAATCATTGAATGTATAAGAAATTACTTTGTAATTAAATTTGAAATCGGTGAACCTTGGACCCTCAGTTTAAGCATGTCTCAAGAACTAAAATAACATTTAAAAAATAGAATTTGTAGTATTTTGCCAAATTCTACTAATGCCATATGGAGGTTTTTAAAAAACGATTCTAATTTTGGCAAACCTTACCACCATTATAAGTTTAGCTCTGAATTCCATATTGAGGAGAATGCCAAACCTTGAATTATAAGCCATATTTGCTCAGCTTTGTAATATTTCTGATACAAACTCACGAATTCCCACAAATTGTCACAAGGTCAGTTTCTTAAGTCATGTTTTGGCTGAAGTTTATTCGACACAGCTTTGGATTTAAATTAAACCTAGAAAATTTGTGTTAAAAGCTTTATTTAGCATAGCTCTAGAAAAGCAACTGTATTTGAAGATAATCTCATTGACCACAAGGTGACAGCCATTTGTTGAGAAAAATTATGTAGACATGCATATAACCTAATTTAGAAGCTACTAAATGAAGGAATTCAGGAAAAAAATTGCTTATAGAACTCATGTAGTTTGTTTAAATATTAAAGTTAATTTTCTTTAATATCCTATAGCATCTTTTTTTTTTCTTTGTTTTCTAGATCCAGTCATAGACTCACTAGACTATATCCTCTTTTTTGCCCAAGTTCATTTTGTTTTAATGTTATATTCTTTTAGGCTTTTACTAAAACATAATTCAAAAGCATGAGACTTAAGGCAAAGAGATTTGTTATGTCTTTTTGGATGGTAGGAGGATCATACTTTGAACTTCTTTGAGTGGATCTGTCCTTAATTTTTAATTTGCAGCTCAGAGGATATAGAATATGTACATCTCTACTTTTTTCATTGTGAACAAGTACTGGACTTGACTCAGCAATGTAGAAGAACACTAATGGAACGACCATTGACCACACTGAACATTCATCTATTTATTAAGACAATGAAAGCACCTCTGTTGGTAGGTGTCTTATTTTACTATGGTATATAATTCATACATAAAATTTATTAAGTTTTGATTCACAGATATGTGTTTTACTTAGATGAGTTATCTCTTTTCCTTTTTCCTTGGGAATATTTCTTTCATTTTGAGGGATTTAAGAGTGGTTCATTATTAAAGGTAGAATGGAAGATAGACTATTCATAAAATTACATTTTAATGCTTTGATTTATTATTTCATTGAAACCCAAATATAGCATTGTGTAAGTGGAAATATTCTGTGGCAGTCATAATGGACTCTGGGTATTGGTGGCCATTCACAGATCACAAAGACCACATCACAGTTAAGAAAAGACCTCTTTGTGAATGTTTTGATCACTGTTCTAAAAGCTGGTAAATATTGGAACCATAAGATTTCTAGTACCCCCTTTCTTTAGCATTAGTCTGAAAGAATTTTACAGAGACTCTCTAGGTGATGGTGCTCAACAGAGTTTTTTCTCTGAAAGACTGAGGGGTTGTCCTGAGCATATGTAAACTGTATTAGTCTGTTTCTGTTGTTTATAACAAAATACCTGAAACTGGGTAATTTGTAGAGAAGCAATATTTATTGCTTACAGTTTCAGAGGCTGGGAAGTCCACAGTCCAGGCAACACACCTGGTGAGGTGACTCTACAGCAATGCAGGTGTCATGTGGAGAGAACTGTGGAGCAGAGAGACAGGGAGCTCCTCACTGCTCTCCTTTTAAGAGATGGCTTCAGAACCATGCACGTGACCACCATTAAACGATCAACTTATTATTCCATTTTCTAGGGCATGGTCCTCACAATCTAAAAACCTCTTCAAGGCCCCACCTTTCAATTGCCGTAATAGGATTTCCCACTCTCTTAACACTGTGACAGTGGGTGTTAACTTTCTAATGCGTGGATTTTGCGGGACACAAATTCAATCCACAGCAAAAACCTTTGTTAGATCTTCTCACTCAGTATGTCTTTTTTTTTAAATGGTGCAAGTGTATTATAAATAATCCAAATAGTGCAGCAAAGTATAAAGAAAAAATTTTAAAAGTCACCTAATTTTATCACTCATAAGTTAATTGTTAAATGACCATCATACCAGTCATCTCTGCACCCATACTGATACATACAGATAAAGGGATAAATGAATTAATGGTTATATCATATTGTGTGTGCTACTTTATAGTAAAAAGTATTATATTCAATCTTATTTGAATTTAATAGAAGAAAAAGAAACTGATATGAAAGAGGAATTATGGGACTTTTAATAAATGTTTCTTCATCATTAGAGGGCTGTTTAGGAAATATTGTCTCAAGTTTTAAAAATGGCTATGAAAAACATTAAGAAATTAAAATTTTTTTAAAACTTCATTTTCCATTTTAGATAGTATTGACTTACTCCTAGCTGGGAAAGGCAAGAAAATTAGCTTCATACATTTATTTCCATCTCAGGTCCTGTTGCTCTTATGATTTTTGTTAGCTTTGTGTTATTTTTACACTATTAAGGTCTATTTTTATATTCTATTCTCATTCGAAGCATGCCATCCACAATTTTACTGGCTTTATTTCTTAGTTCTTTATTTTAAGTTAACTTTTTCTTTGGTTGAATTTTGGCTGTAAGCAATTTTTTTTTTTAAAGAAAGCAGTTTATTCTTTTTACTTTCCATTCGTATGGGAAGGGCATGTGTCTTGATTCCATTGGAATATGGAGTTGAGAAAGGTGGTGGTGGGGAGGGAGGGTGAAAGAGGAAGAGGGAGAGAGACAGTAGTTCACTGTACAGTTCTTCATTTTTCTCCAGCCTCATTTCCTTCTCATCAAATAGTGTGATATTATTAAGAATTCCTAGGATTTTGTCTACTCACGAGTACTATCTTTGCCATTGGGGGCAGGATTAAGCTTCATACTAAGTTTTACTGAAAATCGTCTGTTTTTTTGTTGCTATGACACTCTAGCTTGAAGTTGTGCCCGCCCTCTCTCCTAAAGTTTCTGCTTATGAATTTTGCTGTGTTTTAAAAAAAATATTTTTTGGTTTTTTTAGATAATGAGGAGGGAGATTCTCTGATCTTATTTCACTTTATGATACTTACCAGTAATGATGTAGTATTAGTTTTGAAATTAAAAAACTGAAATTTTGTGACTTGGTATGCAATTAAATATGGCTTTACTTGAAAGCGTGACATGGCAAAAAATCAAAGGCACCATTTATATTGTATTCTATGTGAATGAATAAAACATACATTCATTCACATAGAATACAGTATAAATGGTGAGCTCCTAAAACATACAAGGTGAATGGTAATCTCTTTAGAATTGTGCAGTACAAATGACCCTGCTCTAGCCACTGTTCACCCAAAAGAAGTACTAAATTATCAATCAAAGTCTAAAGTGGGGTTTGTTTTAACATTTTCACAAGGTGATGCATAAGGGTTTTATTTGTTTGAACTCTTTTTTCCTAGATGACTAGGGAACTGGGATGTAGGATTAAGGCAGAGGTTCCGGAAGCTTGGGTAGATACTGGAATAGGTAGGAATGACCAATTGCATAAAGCCAAAAAAGATCTGGAAGACAAAGTGGAAGATTAATGCTAGGTTGGAGAGCTGAGCTGAGAATCCAAACCTTGGTGTCAGCCTAGAATGTCTTGGCAGAGAGAGGCCAAGAAGCACGGATTAGTGGACTTCTACAGACCAGAACAGAGCAAACGAATGCAGAGTGCAGAAAAGGAGACAAGGCCTCAAAAGATTCCTTGAGACTCTTGGTGGGGTGGCTAAGGTCTTACCCTTGTGGGATTAAGAAGATGTTAAAGAGGTCTGAGTTTGGGCTATTTGTGGTTTTTTGAGATTGCATATAAATTTTAGGATGATTTTTTTATTTCCACAAAAAATGCCATTGGAATTTTGATAGAGATCACATTAAATCTGTAGATTGCTTCATCTAGTACAGACATTGTAACAATATTAAATCTTCCAATCCATGAACACAGAATGTCTTTCCATTTAATTAAATCTTCTTTAATTTCTTTCAGAAATGTTTTGTAGTTTTCAGTGTACAAGTCTTTTACCTCCTTGGTTATGTTTATTCTAAAATATTTTATTCTTTTTGATGATATTGTAAATGGGATTATTTTCTTAATTTCCTTTTTGGATTGTTATTAGCATATAGAAACAAATGATTTTTGAATGTTGATTTTTTTAAAAATTAAAAAATTTTTTTATTTTATTGAAATGTATTGATTATACATATTTGTGGGGTATAGAGTTGAATATCAATACATGTATACAATATGTGATGATCTAATCAGGGTAATTAGCATACTCATCATTACAAAACTTAATCTTTTTTTGTGATGAGGACATTTGATCTTTTTTCTTCTAGCCATTGGATAACATGCAGTAAATTATTGTTAATTATAGATGCCTAGGTTGACTGTACACCCATAGACCTTATTTTTCCTACCTAGCTGTTAGGTGTCCATTAACCAACCTCTCACTGTCTCCCTTTCCCTTCCCCTTTTCTGATCTGTAGTAACCACAGTTCTGTTCTCTTCTTCTGAAAGTTCAACTCCTTTCTCTCCCTCTCTTCCCTCCCTCCCTCCTTCCCTCCCTCC